ATACAGAGATCCATACTGACTGAACACAACCGCCATTTTGGCCGCTCGCGCCGCGGACAGCAGACGATGGCGACTCTCTCCTAGAAAACTCTGGAAGAGGGGAAAAGAGTGTCCAATAACAAGCTCAACAGGCGAACAACTGATTTAGGACATTTTAGACTGTACTACCAAGTCAATATGAAGCTTTTTCTGAAGCGCAGCGAAGTCTCGGTCATTCATGGAGGTCAGTATGTTTGCCAGGAGCCCGAGAGACGTTCCAATACCCTGAAAACAACAACAACTGATTCAGAATCAAGAGTGATTTTCACACACTACAACTCCAGACCAAAGGAGTGATAGAGGTCGAGTTTCATTGTAAGAGTGTGTACTGTAGTCCAGACCTTTTTATCAGGTTGTGGAAGAGCGTAAAAGCCAATCAGAGACGCCCATATGAGTTCAGCAGCCTCAAGCCACAGACCTAATAAACACAAACATGCTACATTATACATTTATAATAACAGACACGTTTAGCCCTCGGATGATGACCAAATGATCCAAACATATAATGCAATGCAATGCAATGATTGAGAGATGAAGAAAGTCTCCTCAGAAGATGTGAGATGTTCTGGAGGCTTGTGAAGATCATTCCTCCGCTGAGGAACAGTGAAAGTAAAGCTTCTGGAAACAAACGCTCCTCAAAAGATCCTGAGGATCAGATTTGAGACTCTAAAACATGATTGATGGAGAATCAAGTAAAGCTGAGCTGCTTCAGTCCAGTAAGTGTTCATCTGGAGATATTACTGCAGTTATTCTGACCTTTACTTGATCAAAATCAGTGAAGATTTGACAGCTGAAGCTGGACGTTTGTACAATTACACTAAAAGAGCTTTAAACTATCAATCAGAGACAGAAGACATGGAGCGGATTGTGTGCGACAGCAAAGTTTGATCATTTAGAGGCCTCTGTGTATGAAATATGATACAGTAGCTTTACAGGGGTGAAAGAAATCGTAATGTTCTGATATGAACTTCATTTGTTTGTTCACTGTGATCAGGAAGTTCCCCTCATCTTGGAGATCAGACAGAGATGGTTGAGGACCCTTACGAGTTCCTGCAGTCTCCAGAGCCCGGATCCACCGCTAACAGCTGATGTTACTCTCAGACTGACACGCTGTGATTATGTGCTGTTCTAAAGGACTGGACAGACTCACTGCATCACCTGCTTGTTTTTAAATAAAACCTCTGTGTCTGATTTCCTCTTTTCGGATTGTGTGCGACAGCAAAGTTTGATCATTTAGAGGCCTCTGTGTATGAAATATGATACAGTAGCTTTACAGGGGTGAAAGAAATCGTAATGTTCTGATATGAACTTCATTTGTTTGTTCACTGTGATCAGGAAGTTCCCCTCATCTTGGAGATCAGACAGAGATGGTTGAGGACCCTTACGAGTTCCTGCAGTCTCCAGAGCCCGGATCCACCGCTAACAGCTGATGTGACTCTCAGACTGACACGCTGTGATTATGTGCTGTTCTAAAGGACCGGACAGACTCACTGCATCACCTGCTTGTTTTTACATAAAACCTCTGTGTCTGATTTCCTCTTTTATGTGGTTGTTAAACGCTGTTTTTTTTTCCTGACCACATGTTTGATCTGCAGTAGTGGTGCATTAAGCTCACGTTGCTTCTCTTTTTTTACCACGTGAACGTTAGGAAGTAGAACTTCACATCTCCAAAACCCTTTTGTCCAAATATTACTGTGGTTCTCAAATGGTTTTGTTTCAGGAGTCATTTTATACACAACCCAACAAAGTGACAGAATCGCTTAGTGTGCGTAAGTAAAAACTAAATGCCTTTCAAATAAAACATTGACATTTATTACACAATTTTGCACAAAGAATGAAATAAAGATCTAAGGTCATTACTTAATGCAGGAGTGACATGAGAAAAATTTATTGTGGCAAGTTTATTTTTCATGCACAATAGGAATTCAAAGTGCTTTGCATAAAAAGGATTTCATAACAGATGCATAAGAAAAAAAACAAAATGCAAGTTTATTTAAAATGTTGCATTGAAAAATGTTGCATTGTATTCAGTAGTATGCAGCACAGTGCGTATTCATTAAATGCACAGCTAAAAGAAAACAAAAAAAATGCGAGTTTATTATTTTATGCATTGCATTAAGATGAAAATTCTTTCATGTTTTCCTGCAATGTGCTGAACTCTCACATGCATTCATGGAGAGCTCTCATTTGCATTTGGCTTTGCATGTCCTAGTGGTCACTAGGTAACAGTTAAGATCTCCCAGCCCTGAGATCTTCAATGCTCTGTACTTTTATTGCAATCACGTTGTTTCCCTATCAAATTACAGTCACACAATGGTTCACATTTTTAGAAGTTGTAATTCCACTTTCATGATTCAGTTTGCTGTTAAATGTTATCACATTTCTTTGCGTTGATTTGTTGTTTATATGCGCTTAAAAAAATAGTGTAATGTCAAATGAAGTCTGAGAAAAGCGCGATCGCGTTTCAGCTTCGCCTGAGTAGCAAATTTATTCCGTTTAATAATCATGAGCTGTAACCAGGCGAAGTGCAGCGTGAACTATTAATATTCATGAGCCGCCGCTCGCCATTGGAAGTCTCCGGAGCGTGACGTACGCATGACCTAATTAATATTCAACAGTTACGCTTTCGCTCTAGTGGTTCATATTTTATCCGCTTGAAGTAAGAGGCGCACCGCCGCTCGCGTGGGAAGATATTTTATCCTATTAATTGACGAATAATGAACATTTTAAGGATTTGATATGCTACATTAGATATTGTAGCGTTAAAATAGGATATTAAACACCTTCAGACTGGATAATGGCTTTGAAAACGACTCTTCTGCTGTTCAGTGGACTGTGAGGAGATGATGAAGAAATCAATGGATCAGCAAACTGTATCCAAGAGATCCAAATGATCAACAACAGATGTTTTTCCGGAGAAAACTGCTGGAAGCTGTTCAATGACGAATGCAAGTGGCTTTTTATTCATGCAAAATTGATTTTTGTATTGCATTATATTTTCTTAATCACTTAGCAGTTGTTTTAAATATGAATTGCTCTCCCCTATTGTGTTATTAAAAGTTAAATAAAGAAGCAGCGTGTTTATTCTGTGTGCAGTGGTAATAGTTTGCATGGTTATGCATAACAGAAGAGTTCCTGGTGCATTGGTTTTGTGTGAGTTACTCATTATTAGACTGTTTTCACTAATGTTTGAGTCCCTCAGAGCTTCTTCAGGATGCATTTCTGATGACATTTGCTAGGCAACACAATCTTTCTGTTCGTGTTCAGCAGGAAAAGCTCAGCAGAGTTTATTTGTACTCTGTCTGAATTCTGCAGCTGTGAGGTACAAAATTATTAATTCTGAAGCTTGAAGACAGAACAAGGAAAATCTGAGGATTATTTAGGGTTTATGGTTTAAAAACCTGGGCTTTGTGTTATTTTAATATTATGGTATTACATTTTATTGTAGTATTTATTTATATTTGGAATTAGCTTTAATTTTTATGTTTTTAATATTAGCTTAGGTTTGAGTAATTTTGTTATGTGCTGTAATATTCTGTATATTTATATATAGCTTAAATTAATTTTGAATTTTAAGTTTTAATTTGAGTAATTTTAAACTTAAATATGTTTAGTTCAGTTTGTTGTCAAGGCAAAATTTCCCATTTTCATGTTTTTTTTTTGTTTGTTTGTTTTTTGAGTTTGCGTTTTTGATCTAGTATTTTTATTTTATTCCAATTTTATTTCAGCTTCTATTTAAAAATAACAGCACTGGTTGCAAGTCGTTGCTAAGGTGTTCTTGTTGGCCGAGTGATGCTGACTTGTTGATAAAGTTGTTGCTATGGTGTTGCTAAGGAGTTTCTAAGGTGTTCTAAGAGGTTGCTAGGCAGTTACTAATGTGTTTTAGTGACTTTTTCTGTACTGGTTAGTGGATGGCATTTCTAGATATATTACCACCGTTACTTTCAACTATAATGTAAATATATTATATTATATTATATTATAATACAAACTACATAGTTTCATTAAATTTCAATGTTATTTTAGTATTATTTATGTACCATTCTAGTATTTATTAAAATTTTGAATTAGCTTTTATTTTTATATTTTCAGTTTTCAGTATATAATATAATACAATAAGTCATTCCAAGTTGTTGCTAAGGTGTTCTTGTTGGCTGAGTGATGCTGACTGGTTGATAAGGTAGTTGCTAGGGTGTTGCTAATGTGTTTTAGTGTTGCTAGGCGATAGATAGATAGACAAACATTGGATAATAGGATTAATTGGATTTCATAAGAGAACAGGCAGAAAGCTTTACGCTGTAAAAATGATTTTTCAAAGCTGTAAACGAACCAAAGAAAAAATAAAATAAAAGATAAAATACTACTTTTGTCTTTCTACTTCAAAATGTCTCACTTGATTTGATGCATACCTTAATTCTTTGTGAAATTCACTAGCAGTTTGTTTCAAAGTAAATCCGGCACCAGATGTTTCTAGGAGCTGCGTTTAGACGTTTCGGTCTCAGGTTGGTGATTTTGGAAAGAAACTAACTCAAGGTCAATGCTGACAGTAACAGCTTTGTCAAGCCAACATAATGATGTCAGAGAGTCTTTTAAAATGTGTCATTGTTCAGCTTGAAGAGACTCAGTGAAGAGAACAGTTCTGGTGTTTCCAAACCCTCCAGCTGTGTTCATGAGGAGTGTGTGTGTGTGTGTGTGTGTGTGTGTTTGTGTGTTTGTGTGTGCGTCTGTGTGTGTGTGTGTGTGTGTGTGAGTGTGTGTGTGTGGGTCTGTGTGTGTGTGTGTGCTGGCAAGACGGCCCCGGCCCCGGCCCCGGCCCCGCAGATCTCCGGCAGCAGGAGCGAGCTGTGCGCTCCGCCGCTTCACTCCAGGATCAACGGCTGGTCTCTGCCTCTGCACGGCTTCCAGCTCCTCGCCTGGCTCGTCTACAGCTTCATGGCCGTCGTCGGCTTCGGCATCTACCTTCCTCTTCTCCCGGCGCCGTGGAGCTTCGCAGCGTACGCCGTATCCTTTCCAAACAATCCACACAAACAGAAACGTTTATGTTAAAAAATCATATGAACAGTGAGTCATGGCAACTCATATTACTTTAACTCATCAAAATCATTTTCAGTTTCAACTAGACGAGATTTTTTAAAAGATTTGTTGAAATGACAGACAATTTGATTATACTTAACTTGTTTTTACAGCACCACCAATGTTCACATTCGGTTCTGCCATAAACATCCAGTTATACTAAGCACCACAATGCACTGGGAAACTAGAATTATTTATATACTATTGAAGTATTTATTAATAGTTTGAATTAACTTGTTTTGTTTATAATATAATATTTTTATTTATATTTTAGAAATTTTGTTATGTGCTTTTGTCATTTTTATTAGATTTTTATATATCTATTAATTTTAGTTCATTTTTTAATTATTTTTACATTATTTTATTTTTTATATATAATATAATAACTACACTTACATCCGTTTCTTTCCATTTCGATGCTATTTTATTATTTTATTTTAAATTAAGTTATTTTAAATTTAAGTTACATTTTATTAAGTTATTTTATATAAAAATTTTGAATTAGCTTTTATTTTTATATTTTTTAGTTTTCAGTTTTCAGTTTAATTTTAGTGTAAGTTTACATTCAGTTCTGCCTTAAAAATCCAATTATATATATTATATACTTTTGTAATTTTATTAATATTTTTATAGCTTTTATTTTTATATTTTTCATGTTAATTTTAGTTTTAGTTTTCATTCAGTTCTGCCATAAAAATCCAATTATACTAAGCAGAAGAGTGTAATTTTTGTGCAGTTTATAATAGAATATAATAGAATATAAATAACTACACTTACATCACTTTCTTTCCATTTCAGTGTTATTTTAGGATTATTTATATACTGTTGTAATTTTATTAATATTTTGTAGCTTTTATTTTTATATTTTTTCTTTATTATATATATTTTTTTTTCTTTATGATATTTTTCACGTTCATTTTAGTTTTAGTTTTCATTCAGTTCTGCCATAAAAATCCAGTTATACTAAGCAGAAGTGTGTCACATTGTATTTTTGTGTCACATTGCATTGCCAAAATAATGAGGGTTTCCCGAGCACTTGGTCTGTTCAAAAATATAATAAATAGACAAAATTCCTGTTGCATTGTCTCGACTGATTGCATGCAAACCCAAACATAGCC